CTATAGATAAGTATTTACAATCATAAAATTGCATGCTTTATAAAATCTTTCTGAGGTTTACATTTTCTTCTCCATATCTGTGGTCTTTTTTTATTTGTCATATTATTTTGTAGTAAGTTCATGTCCCATACCTTAAGATTTCTCATTTTATATTAAAATATTTTAAGTTCTTTTCTAAGTCATCGTTTTAAACTGGAGTACAAAATTAATTCTATAAATATCTTCTTATAATGTCTGTCTCTAGAGCTATGTACTTTTCCTTCACTTAATAAATCATCATATTGTTTTCTGAGTTAGGTAATTGAAGTGCAATCCCCTTGGAACAGCTCCTGCAGGCTTCTTTAATGGGGGAGCGAGTGAATATATACAATCTCAGTGAATAATGCTCATATTCAACTAAAATTGAATGTGCTATTCCACAGGTATGAGAAATTTCACACTTTTGCAGAATATTTCAGGAGACCTAAAACTTGATATAAAATGTTATTTTGTATCAAACTCTTCAGCCACTAAATACATGTGATAAAATATTTTAATTTTTGCTATTCAATAGATGACATAGAAATGTACTTACCAAACTGTACTTTATACAAAGTTCTTCCTAAAAATTCAAAATGAGCACATCTTGGAAAGCAACAGCGAAAATTTAAAAATACTGAATTTATTTTTGTAGAGATAACTAAGAATGTTCTCAATAAACTATATGCTTTCATAATCTCAATGGAGGTTAACAGACTACTTTGAAGTATGATAAATCCAGAATCTAAAAACATAAGGACAAAATATATCAGCCCTCATTTTGATAAAATAAGAAAAGCAATCAATAACTCAGGTTAGTTTGTTCTGCTAAGTATATAATTTTAGAGCAACTCTACAATAATATTAACTGCTAATGTTTCCCTCATAAGGCATTTTTTAATCAAAATTTATTTTATTTCACTACAGATGGAGGATGCTAAGGATGTCACATGTAGACATTAACTATGTTCTAAAAGGAGAAAATGCAAAGCACTAAAAAGCATAGGTAATTTGAGGGAGATATGGGATTGAATTTTGCAGTTTACCTTTAGCTTTGAGAGTGGCTACAAAAGTGAAACAAAATATGTCAAAAGTCCATTTGAATCAGGAAATCTCAAAATATGGCCTCTCCTAAACTTATTATACCAACACCAAACCCAAGATATTTGTTTTTTTTCTGCCTTCTACTCAAATTATATCTATACATGTATGGATGAGGGGACAGGAGTATGAGTTGTTTCCTCATAAAACTTTTTTGTTTTTTAAAGCACAATACATAGAAATAAAGAGACAGAAGAAATAGTCATAATTAAAATAGTAAATCCAGAATTAATTGAATTAGGTTCTAATATAGTAGTGTTTTCATGTGCATTACAAAGCAAATACATTACCTGTAGCTAAAGCATAAAATAGCTGGCATAGTTTTACACATAAGACTAGGGGTTGGACTCTTAAACACAGCAAAAATACATTAAATTAAATACAAATAAAGAATGAAATATATGACTCAGGATTCTGGTCATATACATTTTCTAGGGTTTGGTTATAATATACATTTTGTGACCAACTGAGTACTGATTAAGTAAAAGTTTGATGAAACACATTAAACTATGTTCTCACCCTAAATTTATAACCTAAATTAGTACATTAAAATAAATACTTCTGTATATTTTTTCTTTATTTTTGGTGGTACTGGGACTTGAACTCAGGGATTTGAATTTGCTAGGCAGGAGCTATACCAATTGAGCAGTTTCCCCCATCTGTGTATTTATTTCCTTAAACATATAATTGGTACATCTTCTCATAGGTCATAGGGTGCTGGTTCATTCAAACACATTGTTGTTTTAATGAGAAAAACTCTTTGGAAAGAAAGCCTAATATCACAGATGTTTTAGTCATGAAGCTTCATGATGCTTCATGCACTTTCAGGTTCCAAGTCATTTGTTTCTTATCTTGACTCAGAAATATGGAACTAATGGCAAAAATTATATTGAACCTGATCCTTTTCTTCTGAATGCTAAGCGCATTAAATAGTAAATGTATTTCAATCATATTCAGCAAAGTTTATTTTCTTTTGATTTTTATTTTCTTAATGAATATAATACAGAGGAATAACTGATTTTGATACTCATCCCATATTTGATTCATTTTTACCATAGAAATTCAAACTACATCTAATTAAAACTCTTTATCCACCTTCCTCTTCTTGATAAACATAGTTGGGACCAAATTATCTCTTTTTTGAGAGATAAGACTATCTATAATTTGCAATTCACATGCAAGTTGTTACTTAGGTATCTATTCATTTACTCACCCAGAAAATCACTATAATTTTATAATTATTTTTACCTCGTTAATGCAATATAGTGTTGCCTTATTCTTCAATATTTCTTGTCATTCATAGGTATGCTTTTGGAGTCATCCTTACTAATTCATTTGACTATACATGTTGTTCCCAGAATTTGTATTTGCATAAATTTTTTAGAAATTTACAAATTGTCTCTTAAAATGGCTTTACTTTATCACCTCATCATCATTTTGTAGTTTCAGAATTTTGAATGTTTATTTTTTTAAGTGTATAGGAGAATTTTATATCATTTTATACTTGCTCTTTTCAGATATTCAATGAAGTTAATAATAAGCACTCCCTCTATGAGATTTTTTTGGGAATTGACTGTATGTATATATTTATCCATATTTCTATGGACTTTAGTGTATTATTCTGTAAGACATAATTGTATCTATTGTCACCAAGCCATGGTTTATGTGTTTTCTTAATTTTGATCAGTTTTATTAGACAGGAATTTAAGATTAAAAATATTAAAGTTAACTAGACTTTGTGATAGACTTTTGTTTAGGAATCTCATCCATGATGAATCAGACACAAACTCTTCATTTATATTGTTAAATATAGGCAATTAAATATATCATTAGGCACGACTCCTTCAACATTTGAAGGATGAAACCATATGAAATGCAGAGAACAGAGCCATCCCAGAAATAGGAAACAGGCTAAGCACCAGTAACTCACACATATAATCCTAGCTACTTAGGAGGCAGAAATCAGGAGGACTGAGGTTAAAAGACAGCCCTGGGAAATAGCTTGTGAGACCTTATCTCAAAGAAACAATAAAAAAAAAGGCCCATGGAGTAGATCAAGGTGTAGGCCCTGAGTTCAAATTCCAGCATCCCAGAACTGCAAAAAAAAAGAGAGAGAGAAGGAAACAAACACAAGATACAGAGGTAACAATACACTGTGAAAAGAGGTGTTCTGTATTTGTATTCATGAGGTGTTATTGAAACATTTAAATTTAATTTTAGGAAAATAACTTTTAAATAAATCTGGACTTCCAAAATTATTGTTTTTTTGAAAATATTGATAATGACATCCCTTGGGAAAGAGAATGACTTTTTATAGTCATAATTTAAATATTTAATAAAAATAAGCTAAAGAAAATGCAGGAGGAGAAAGAGAAATATGGTACATTATTTGAGAGTAATTTTTGTGTTTCTCTGCCTTTATTCTTTCTAAACATCAATGGATATATTTAATATTGATAATTCTTCAACAAAATTCTTTCCACCTTCTCCAGAGGACTGTTGGAGTGTGACTTCCTTCTCTTTCTGTTCTGACACTGCTGCTAATCCAAATGCTGGTCCTCTTGCTGAAGGAATTAATGCTGGTCTTCTATAAGGAGGTTGGTGAGTGCTGATGAATTGAAGTGGTGTACGAATTATCCTTGGCAGCATGTCATGTGCCCTCAAGACCGATCCACATTTCCTATGGTTTGTGGGACACAAAAGATTAATCAGTATGTGAATGCAGTAACTCTATCCTCTAGGTAGTGCTGTAGTTGAGACCAACAGTAGAAACTGAACTTACACATAGGTTATCATTTGATATCCTCTTTGCTTAAACGTAAAGCTAATGAGCAAAGATTTCCTTCATTACATCTTGCTTCTCTTCCCACTTTATTATTCTTAAAGGTTAATTATATATCTAGTGATGAAGATTTTATTTGTTATTTTAACTTTAGTTAGTAATAGTTATGAATTATCTTGTGGCTTAATATAGTTACTTAGTTGTTATTTCAGGAATCCATGAACAACACACAGAAATAAAAACTTTAAAGAAAAAATCTCATATACTCTATTTTTAAGAATAATTCTACTGATTTGTACCAGAGATTTGAGGAAGTGTGAAAAACTTGAAGGACTAGCAAGAATATATATTTTAAGAAGGATTGAAAATGACCAATGATTTGGTTGCATAAAGGTAATGGAATGCCAAGAATTTAAGAAAAAAGATACTGAGGAAACATGCTGTCATATAATTATCATGATCCATCTTCTCCCTCAAACAATTATCAATTCTACAAATACATTCACAATTAGAAATTTTCACATAAATATTATCATACAGAAAGTTACTGCTTTCTATACTAATTCAGCATAGTTTACATAAAATATTGCTTTAAACATTCAAATTTATTAACATGTGTTTCCCTTCAATATTTATACTTCTTTTGTAAAACAGGTATTATTCTTATTCTAAAGGCAAGAAGATTGTAAGAAATCATTTTACACCATTGCTGAAATATCTGGAACTCTGTCATTTCCATCCTGTGATCCGTCTACTGACATATTATCTCATATGTCTGAATTTCCCAAGGAATTTAGTACCTATTCACTTTGTTTTAATATAATTTACTTTGAAAGTAAATAGAATACAGAGATAAATGAACTAATGGACCTGAGGGAATAAACAATGGCATGAGTTCAATCAGTGAATGCAACCTGCATCTTCCATTTGATCCCTCATGAGATGCATCAGTGCTGTCCTATCATCTTGTCATTGCCTATTAATCCACTGTTTGGATATTGTACATTTCTAAGAGATAAATATAACACATTATTCATTATTTCCATAATTATATGAGGAGTAAATTTCTGAATATCTTCAAGTCTGTTCCAGCAATTTCAAAATGACAAATATCACTGCAGTTACCATATTTATACTCAGGGGCTTTACAGATAACAATCAGCTGCAGATTATTCTTTTCTTCCTTTTTCTAGCAATTTACCTTTTTACTGTCATGGGAAATTTAGGACTGATTATATCAGTCATTAGGGACTCCAGGCTTCACAACCCTATGTACTATTTCCTGAGTGTTTTATCATTCTTGGATTCTTGCTTTTCTACAGTTATTACCCCCAAAATGCTGATAGATTTTATGTCAAAGAAGAAAGCCATTTCATTCCTTGGATGTGCAGTACAGATGTCTCTTGCTGTGGCTTTTGGGACCACAGAGTGCTTTCTGTTGGCTGCAATGGCTTATGACCACTATGTAGCCATCTACAATCCTCTTCTCTATTCAGTGAGCATGTCACCCAGAGTGTATATGACACTCATCATTGCTTCCTTCATTGGCGGGACTCTGAATGCCACTGTACACACAGTGGCCACTTCTAACCTCTCCTTCTGTGAATCCAATGAAATCACACATTTCTTTTGTGATATTCCTCCTCTCCTTGCTATTTCTTGTTCTGACACTCATGTAAATCAGATTCTACTATTCATCTTTGTGAGCTCTATTGAGATTGTCACTATCCTAATTGTCCTCATCTCCTATGGCTTCATCCTGTTGGCCATTCTGAGGATCCATTCAGCTGAAGGAAGGCAAAAAGTTTTCTCTACATGTGGCTCTCACTTAACAGGAGTGTCAATTTATCATGGGACAATCCTCTTCATGTACCTGAGACCAAGCACTACCTATGCTTTGGAGCATGATATGATAGTGTCAACATTTTATACCATTGTGGTTCCCATGCTGAATCCCATTATCTACAGCTTGAGAAACAAAGATGTAAGAGAGGCAATGAAAAAATTATTTAGGAACAATGATATATGGATAGAGTGAAATTTTCATATCAAACATTAAAGTGAATAATTAAGAATGATGTTTCAGGGTCTCTTTATCACCCCAACTGTGGAAACATCTTGTTTTGGTTCAATTGTGTTATATGATGCTGGTACTGAGGATTGAACTGAGGGCCTCCCACTTACTAATCAAGAACTCTACCACTTGAACCATACCACCAATCTATTTCATTTTTTGTATTTTGGTATTGAGATAGGGTCTTCTAACTTTTTCCAGACTGGTCTGAAATAGGTGGGATTACAGATGGGCACTAGGATAACTGGCTGCTTTTCTATGGTTGTTTAAAAATTTCAAATAAATGTCATTGTTCTCTCTCTACCTAGATAGTTTTACTTGTGGAAAGGCATATCTTCTATTTTTATTTTACATTTTTTTTATTGCCTCTCATTTTTAGTTTACAAGCTACTTTGTCTACATACTCTGGGCAAACATCTATAGATAAGTTATTAAGAGTGTACTACTTGCTTTGGTCAATTCACCCTTGTATAATTTTTTTCTTCTCTTATATATATGAACCATAGTGTTCAGAGTTATTCCCCTCCAATGTAGTAATCATAAACAATCACAAGAGAATTTCCATATTACTAATCATTTTCTGCATAATGTCCTGAAAAAACTGGACTTTTCCCTCCATCATTCAATCATCACACTTTCCATTGCAAAAAAAAAAAGAATTAAAATTCCCATGAGGAATGACTGCAACTTACTCTACTCCATCATCCTGGCACTCATGGAGAAATATCTATGGCATAGTAAATTCCCAACACTCATTTGTTGAATAAACTGGAGTTACTTATTTCATAAATTTTTTGACATATCATGCTCTGGCATATGTGGGAATGAATAAAACATGTGTATGTTTTCTACTACAAATTTAAAAAAAGAGTACATTTTTGAAGATGAGTGGGCCATATAAATATTAGAGATATGGGGAAGTTTTCTTCATGCACAATCCTATGAATTTCTAATAAGATGATCTTTGTCTTCTCAAGCTCTCATAATACGAGGCTTTAAAAAGTGCAAATAGGCATGTTATGAGAAAACTGATAGTTATGGACAACACTCATAAGAATAAAAATTAGACCATTCTACAATTCCTCAGATTAATATGTAATTGAAAGCCACAGCTTTGTTCCTAGATTATTACTCATGTTTTATTTATACAAAGTAAAGAAATCATTATTTACTTTGCATTTTGTAAATCAACAGAAAACATGATTCATATAAATAAATCAATAATGTGAAAATCAGTATACCAAAAATTGCTATTGGTGGGTGCCTTTAATCCTAGTTACTCAGGAAGCAGAGATCAGGATTGCAGTTCCAAGCCATCATTGGCACATAGCTCCTGAGACCCTCTTGAAATAACCTCTCACAATAAAGGACTGGTGGAGTGGCTCAAGGTTGAAGCCCTGAGTTCAAGCCCCAGTACTGCAAAAAAAAGTGCTATAAATATTTAATAGACTACTATAAAGTCACTCATATTAAAGTTCTACTACTGCCCTAAAAAAGGAGTAAATGTTACCATGGAAGAGCAAAATGCTTGCATAATTTCTCAGAGGAAATCAGCAACATAGACAAGTTATCCCTAAACTGCTTGGGAACCTCAACCAGGCCACTTCCATGACACCCATCACAGTCTGGTTCACAAGACTTGATTACAGCTATTGTAGACTTCTGGTCAGAATTAGGACAGGTGGGGTAGCACCTAACACTTTGTTGATCCTTCTAAAAGTGATAAACAGGTAACATTAGTGTCTGAAGTTCACATACATAGTCTTTAATTTCTGCCCTGAAGGAAGCTCAGAGTCTTTTCCCTTCTGAAGTACTTTTAATGATTTATTGCCTGGTAAGTCTCTGAAGTCAACTTTCCCTTAGGCATTTGGATTAACTCCCAGTACTACTTCACTACTTGCCAATCAAAGGAATGTTCATTTTGTGCAAGACAGAAGAATACTTATGATCAACACTTTTTATTGATTTTATTCAGAAGGGTATATATTTCCTGGGCCATCTCTCCATCCTGCACCCTACCCTCATCCCCCTAGGTCAACTTTGTTGAAGAGAAGGAACACATGATAATAAGAAAGCCATAGCATTTTTGCTAGATTGAGATTAACACAGCTATACAGAGAGATTCCTAGCTTTGCTTCTATGCACATGTATATTACAATCCAAATTGATTCATCTCTACCAGACCTGTTCACTACTTCCCCATCAACTTCACATAGTGGCCTCTGTCACTTTCAGATTACTTTATTAGCTCCTCTACAGTGGGTACACCAAATACTTTCAGGTTATAGTTTTCTTTCCCTTTCCCTATTCCTCTTGTACATGTTCTCCCCACAGTATGTGACCCATGTCCAATATTATTACTGCAATTGTTTTAGGTCTATAATCCACATAAGAGGGAGATCATATGATTTTTTGCTTTCTGAGTCTGGCTAACTTCACTTAAGTTCATGTTGTCCAGTTCCATGCATTTACTTGTGAATGACAAAATTTCGTTCTTGTTTGGGGCTAAGTAAAATTCCATTGTGTATAAATACTACATTTCTTAATCCATTTGTCAGTATTGGGGCATCTTGGCTGTTTCCATAACTTAGCTATTGTGAATAGTGCTGCAATAAACATGGGTGTGCAGGTGCTTTTGGAGTAACCTGAGTCGCATTCCTTCAGGTATATTCGTAGTAGTGGTATTGCTGGATCATATGGCAGATCTATGTTTAGTTTTTTTTAGAAGCCTCCATATTGTTTTCCAAAGTGGTTGTACTAGCTTACATTGCCACCAGAAGTGCATGAGGGTTCCTTTTTCCATGCATCCTGCCAACATTTGTTGTTGGTGGTATTCTTGATGCTAGCTATTCTAACAGGAGTGAGGTGGAATCTTAGTGTGGTTTTGATTTGCATTTCCTATATGGCCAGGGATGGTGAGCATTTTTTCATGTTTTTTCTTCATTTGGATTTTTTTCTTACAAAGAAGTTCTGTTTATCTTACAAGAAAAATTGTTTTATTATAAGATTTATGAGAAACAGAAATATATTAAGAACCATCCTCAGAAATGTGGGAGAAAATACAGAAAAGATCAGAGCCAGTATAGTAACCTAGGAAAAACAATCTGTGACACTTCCACTTCCACCACCAGAGATTCAAAAGGCTTCTTGCTACCAGGCAGCTTTGGGCATCCTTTCAGTTCAATATCTCACTATAAAGAATTCTTTGGAAGGCTAGCCTGGTTCCAGATCCCCTTACAACTAGAATCCTGTATTATGTATGCTGGTCACACACAGTGTGAACTTCCATCTGGCTCCCTCCTGAAGATGTTTGGTTCCATACCTGGCCTATCACCTACATCACAAAAGTTATAAAACCCAGGCTTCTCTCACTATCCACTTAAAATGCAGGGAGACACAAAAGGACTATTAGTGACTATGACCTATGCAGGACATAATTCTTGATTATGGTTGCCCTGCTGCAAAGGGTGAATCTTGCAGAACTCTAAGTCTGAAACTTTGTTCTTTTTGACCAACCATTCCCTATAACGTCCCTCTCCATTTCTGCTACCCCTAGACTCTTGTAACCATCATTGTACTCTCTTCTTATAGTTGAACATTTTCATATTCTACATAAGTGGGATCCAGTGAGTTTTGTCTTTTTGAGGTGATAAACATGTCAAATAATATGACTACTGTGCATAGGTACATCTAAACATCACAATGCACCCCATGAATGAATACAATTATATCTTATCAATTGAAAATGACACCAATAAAATCGCAAAAAGGTTGCATAAGTGCACTTGGACTGCCCCACCTACTTGGTTTTGTGATTTTCTCTGTTGCTTGCTCCATTTGCTGGAGTTTTATTTCCAAATCATTGGTGTGTCTTTTGAGCCAGTAAGCAGCAAGTTAAGTTTTAAAATATAGGTGGCAATCCTCTTAGTCTCATTCTTGTAGACCTGGCTCTTACCAAAAGTAAATTCTATGACCACACAATGCAGTTTCTGATTGTGGAGGGAATTTTCTTCTGATGACATACCCTGAGAGCACGTGCTGCTCTCTGGGTCACGTCATGGGTAGAGGGTGTGGTCCCACCAAGGTGTTGCTCAAAGGGGAGGGAGTGTTTTGACTTAATACCCTGGATTGACTTCTTGCTGTCTCTCTCTCCTCTTCCACTGCTGCTTGTGTAGGAGGAGCAGGAGGCAGCCACAGGACCACATTGTGTCTGTTGGATTGTAAATTCCTCAAGGAATCAAGGTCAGCATATATTGATACCTGCTTACGCAAAATGTTTCAATACTATTCATAGTAGCTAAGTCATAGAATAAGCATAGGTGCCCATCTAGAAGTGAGTGGATAAATAATATGTGACATATGTCCGTAATGGAGAATTACAAAGAATACAATCATGTTGTTTGCAGGAAATGGTTGTCCTTGAGATCGTCAGGTTAAGAAAATAGGACAGACTCAGAAAAACAAATATTACATGTTTTCTTTCATATGAAAAATCTAGAAAGACATTGAGTTAGAAGAGGGGTTATTTGGGAAAATGAAGGCAACAGTGAGAGATGAGTTGACTATGATCAATGTAGATTATCTACATGTATGAAAATGTATCAATGAAACATTATTTCTTACAATTAATACATGGCATTCAACATGAATGAAATAAAATTTTAAAAAATTAAGCTTTTCATTCTTTCTCTAGTAAGCCAAATATAGAAGAAAATAATAAAAATAATTCAGCAAAAAGAAAATAGGGAAGAGCAAATGGAGGCAGAGAGAAAGAGAGAAAAAAAGGTACAAAACCATCATGGTTTACAATGTGGTGATCTAAGAATTAAAATACATTTTCATTTAAACTGAAGAACATTTAAAAATCCCCTATTACTCTTTGACTTTTGCTATGATACAGTGCTGATATAAGATTTGATTGATGCCATAAAATGCTCTATATTTAATCAATATTTATTTCCATG